TATGATTTTTACTATTGTTTATAATTTTTATTATTTTTTCATGTATCATATAGTTTTCCGTGCAAATGCACGGAACAAAAACTAGTTTATATAAAGTTGGAGAGTTGGGTTGAACTGTGTTTTAAATGTGGTGATAGTTAAATAAATAAGTTGATCGGTCAAAACTCAAAAACTGATTAAAATCAGTTATGATCAGTTTAACAAGTTTATTCACAACCTTTTCCATTATCTAGTAATTAAGTCACTAGTCGGCCGTTTGGATGTACAGAATGAGACTGATATCCAGCCTAACCAGCCCATCTCGCGATGACGTGTCCCGCATTGAAAACCAACTTTTGGGCAACCAAAAGTTTGGGTATCAGCTTTGTTAAGCACTTCTCAGTTCCTATGCAACTTCTGCTTTTCTTCTTTGGCTTTCCACTTAAAAGCCCAGCTCTTTATTGTTTACTTATGCATGTTTTGACCTCTTTTTCCTGTGGCATAAGTGAACAAAAGAAAGCAGTTATATGCTATTAAGCTATACAGCCATAGCTTATATGTAGAAGACTTGATTGTTAAGTTTTCATAAAATACGTACACCCCTTCAAAACCTAACTTAGCACTTAAGACAACGAGTTGGATACAAATATGACGTTCATGCATGTCAAATATAGCAAATTAAATACAAATTTTTGTGTGTGGAGTGGAGTAACTGTTACGCGGTTGACCCGTTATACTTTTAAATAAAAATACATATATTTATAATTATAATAAAATATCATACTTTTGTTTATGTTATATTTTAGAGTATGACATTCATGAAAGAACTTATATTTATTAAAAAAATAATTGACCAATCATTAAATCCTTGTAACAACAACCTTAGGAAAAATTGCACTATTCGTCCACTAGTCTAGTTGCACTTTCGTCCTTTAATTGTTTATTTTTTATTTTTGGTACACTAAAATTTTTTTTTTTGGTAATTTTAGTCCAAATCGATATTCCGGTGCTCATTTTGCCGGAAAAGCTGACGTGGCGCCTAGTCAAATNAAAAAATAAAAAAATAAAAAGAAAATGTTAAAAAATCCATGTGGAAAAACAAAAAAAAAAAAAAAAAAGGGGAAATCTCATCCCCATCAGAAAGCACATAGACGGACGAAGGTTGCAAGAGCAGATTCGGTGCATCAATTCCTTGCCAATGGCTCGCTTCGAAAGAAAGAACATAGGACCTGATCTCTTCGAAGGAGATTGTTAATACGATATACTGGGATTTGGCCCAACTTCTAGTCCACCGGGGCAGTTCTCTTATGGGCTCGCCTAGGAATCGAACCCCAAGCTTGCCGGAAAATCACCTCCGACCAAAGCTCGAACTCGGTCCGTCGGGGAATTCGAATACGATTCGATTTCACCGAAGTTTCAGAAAAATTGGGAGTCCTCCAGAGAATATCAAATCCCAAAATTGGGAGTCTCCGGTAGGTCTCCGAAGAACGCGATCTTGTATATCGCCGCAGTCGAGTCTTTCATCTCAGGCCAGGGCCTGGATCCGGTGCCCATTTCAACGACCCTGCAGCCAAAAAAATTTTCTTTTCTTTTTGTGT